CTTCATTTGTGACCATCACGAGCCAATCACCGCATACGTCCTTTGTTGTCAACGGGCCCCACTCGGCAAAGACGAAAATGGCAACGAAAAAAAGAACTCATGGCCCTTCTCCTGGGAGCCACCTGGAGGGTCTCGAGAGAACTTCGATAAATCTATTTCGAGCACCGCTATACGTGAGACGGAAGAAGAAGTCAACTTGCATGGCTCGCGAATTTCTCGTCATGTCTACAGGGATTCGTGGATACACAAGGGAGTTCAGATGGCAAGATACACATGTCCTCTGGAAGTTCATGAGCCACTCAAGCTCCAACGAACATGGTGCAACAGACAGCAGCAGCCCGTCGGTAGGAATGAAGGACCCATACGGTTAAGGGAAGATGAACATCTTGATTACTGCTGGGTTACGGAAGCACAAATCCGTGGTTCACCGCTCTACGACGAAACGAATCCTCAGCATCAAAAAGGACTTGTTATGCTTGAAAGCAAGAAGGAGATGATCCTCGATGCTTTTTTACGGCTGAGGAATTCTCAATTTGATATGACGTACGCTTTGTCAGTGGATTGATAGTGGAATATTACCTTTCGGGCGACTCTTCTGAGATTGATTGCTTGAGGCCACACTCAGTCTTAAATATGTCCCCCTTGGACAGATAACTCACTTATAGCGACCTGTATAAAGCGACGGCTTAGAAGAGAATGGTCCGGGTGGCGATTATGATGTTGACTATTATTGGGATATAGAGAGACTAAGAGATCCATGCGACATTTTTACCGTGCCAAAGACAATGCGTGTCCTTCTTGAGCCTGCCCCAACCTACGAATATAGAATACGACACTGGAACATCTATCTTGGGCTTTTTCGTTTCTGTATTGATTCCGTTCGAATTGATTTTCCTACCTCAACTATACTACTCTTCGCACAATGCGCCGCACCTTCTTCATATTAGAATTTAATCATGCAGCGGGTCTTGGCTCTCAACTTGTACATTGACAGACTGTTCACCGAGAATCATGCACATTGGTAAACTTGTCTGTAGGCCCCAAACCAGTTAAATATGGACCAATCCAAACAAGGGGAAAGCGACTAGCACCAGAACTATTTTTAGACTATAATAGTTTGTACACCGTAAATGTACACAATGGCTAGTAATTTGTCTTTAGTCGCAAGGAGTTAAATTTACAACTCAAGCCCACAGCAAGCCACAGCAAGCAAGCAGGGCCATACAGCCAAATATTGAGGCTTGATTACCATATAAACCTTCCTCGAGCACATTCAACTTTACGCTGCTCTATCTTTACTGGGAGCCACTGGAAGTGCCAATACTAACCATGATTCGTTCTGACCAAGATCAATTCAATACAGGGTATGTCCATCTCATTGACCACTGATCTGAAACCAGGCTAAGATTTGCAGACGCGGTGCATACGATACAACAGGGGTCAAGAAACCGGGTGTCCCACCTCCACCGCCAAAGTAAAGATGACGTTTCCGCCTCCATTCGGGATATGATATAAATAATAGCTGCCCAGAATACTGATTCTATGCCATTGTACACAACGAAAAGATACACAACAGATCGTCAACAGATTGTCGGTGTTCATCTCCACTCGGAATACCAACCCCTTCAGAGATTCTTGCTTTCCCACCTAAAATGTCAGACCAAGCTGATGAGGCGCTTCATTCTCTCCTTGATACCTTTGCCCCAGGGCTTTCATGGCTTATCCGGTTAATCTCAGCCACTCTAGGCGTCAACATTTTGTCTTTTGTCCTGCCTTTGGTTGCCCTTCCGATCATTTCCACATTTTTACTGCCATCACTTTCCAGAGCTCTGGAACCCATTCTTTCGGTATTTTTCGCCTCTGCGGAGATCAAACACCGAAATAATCTCTACCCTCAGGTTATGAGATGGATACCTACTATCAAGTTTCACAGCTCCTCAAGCTCCGTTGTTGTTGGGATTACGGAGGCATTCGGATTTCTTTGGGATTCCAATGATGACTCTCTAGACTTTGTGGAAACCGAGAGCCCAGCCTACCGGGGAAAGATAGAAAAGATTCGCATCACTCCTGGACAAGAGCGTTTTCACTTCTTTCGGTATCAAAACTGCTGGTTTGCTTTCTACCGCGACCCGCACCGGAAGGCTCTGGACTCCTTCTCGAGAAATGCCGAGGATATCACATTTTATTACATGGCCTGGAACCAGAAAATTCTGGATGATCTTCTGGTGGATATCCAAAAATACAATGTTGACGGCCGCCTTGGTCAATTGGCCGTGTTCTGTGCACATCAAAATAAGCGGGATGTGGGCTGGCAGAAGATGTGCGACGAGATTCCTCGCAGCCTAGACAGCCTAGCGCAGGATGGAGAGATGAAGCGAGAGATGATTGCCGATGTCGAAAGATTCCTCAGCAAAGACGTTATTGAGTTTTATCGGAAACTTGGCATCCCACATCGACGAGGCTATCTGTTTCATGGCCCACCGGGGACTGGTAAAAGCAGCTGCTGCAAGGTGATTGCCACGCACTTTGAGCTTCCAATGTATATAATCAACCTCGCAACCGTTGATGATTTTGGTCTACAAGAGTTGTTCCGCACACTACCGGCTCTTCCTGCACGCTGTATGGTGGTACTGGAAGATATAGACACAGCCGGGATCGATCAGCGTGGCAATACTGTGAATGAAGAAAAGGATACATCTCGTCCGAAAGGAATCACGTTGGCAACTGTTCTTAATGCGTTGGATGGCATTGGAGCCCACAGCGGCCACATACTCGTTGCCACCACGAATGCCGAGGCAAGCCTTGACTCGGCTCTGACTCGACCTGGACGGATAGACAAGCAATTTGAGTTCCGAAATCCCGATGCATCGACAATACACGACTACTTCTCTTTCTTTTTCGGTAATCGTGATGCCAATGCAACGTCCCCAAATACAAAGCTTGATCTGCTGGCCAGTCAATTCTCCGACGCCGTTTCTCTTTTGGCCTTGTCACCTGCTGCGCTGCAGGAGTATTTCTTGCAGTGCAATAAAGACCCGGAGCTTGCAGTCAAAAATGCGGCAAAATTAGAAACCACCGATCTAAAATCGGCTGGTCCTTAATTTTACGGGCGACAATGAAACCTGAGGTCGGCTTACGTCTAATGGTGGAGATCTCATTGGGCTACACATAAATTTCTTTGATATTTGCATTCGAGAACTTGAAATTCAATCTTAGTGACGTGAAACTAGCAAAAGGTTCGAAGGTCTGAAGATCATATTTTTGGTTAGAATTATTGACCTAACACGGAAGTCACAATTTCATGCAGAGAGAATAGACTGATCCTGTTAGAAACAATGAACTAGATTAAATCCAAATTCAAACCGAAATTTAAATAATTCACGTTGTGGGAACATAGACTCCGCGTCGGTGATCAGGATCCGCGGGACTTTACTCGTTTTCCGATAAGCCGTTTTCCATAGTCGATTGCTTCATCTTTAAACTCTCTAACTTCCGGTCCCTAAACAGCAATACTCAGTGAAAATGAAGCAACAGCTATGCTCGCCAAATATGCTGTAAGTTTGTATGATGTTGCACTAGAGATATCCTTATCACAATCCATGTGATACCGGCCTAGATCTTTCATTGCAGGCAAAGGCGATTCGATATTGTCTCAGATCCACGAATGGATATCTAGCGGCGCGTGGTGCGGCATGATGAGAAAGCTGCCAATTGTGGTTTTATATACCGTACTATGACTCCAAGGATATGACCACCTTCCCTTCTCTGGAGAAGACTACATTCCAAAATATTTACTGGCGTCTGACTTGAATTATTCTGAGGCTCAAAATGGAGGTGACCCTCTCCGCAACAATTACATACCTGATGGTCTTGAAGTTAGAAGTGAGCATCACTTTCTGTCCCGGTTAAGGTTACTAACACTTGACCAGCCCTGGGATCATTTCCACATTCGAGAACAAGACGAAACAGGGGTCATGATAGGAGCAGCAGGCAGCAAGCTCCGGCTCTCCCTCGACGAGATGAAAAGCTCCATGTTTGGGTGCGCATTTCTTCTCGATCGTGGAGGATACTTTTGGTATATCGTGTGTCATGCATTGCGGCATTGGAGAGATCCCGAATGGAAGCCACTCTCCGGAACTGATGGCTTGCGGGTCGGCAGCAGAACTCAAAGAGGACTACTGTATCTATGTCCTGTGCTATCTGGTAACACGTCCACTTCGGTTCCATTCTCTGTGCTGAAGATGACGACACCTGGTCGAGTAATGACTTGGCAAGCTGAGCATCCGGACAGCGAATATACGCTACAGGTCAAGGCTGAGCTACTGTGCCAACTTTGCAAAGCAGCTTGGCTTGGAAATTGGAAAAGATGTCGGCGTCTGATTCTCAGCTTTACTATTGGTTGCTCACGGCTTTTGTTGATTGTCGTTGTCATGACCAAGGGACTGGCAAATGCCATTTGGGAACGGCTATCCAGGGATTCTTTTGAGCCTCTCGAGTGATTCTATGCATTTAATTATCTTCTTTCTTCGACCGGGTACGAGATGCGGGCTGGAGGTTGTCCATCAATGTAACACAATAGTATTGTTTTATTTCCTGCTTCAAATTGATGAAAAGAATTTGAGAGAGTGATCGAGAGGTGACTCCATCAGAACAGCTCTTGGCATATTTTCACTTTGCAGGAGGCTTAGCTACCAAGAAATTACCTGTTTCTGCCAGAAAAACCTGATACTAACAGAACATGTTGCCCATTTCGACAGAAACCGTGGACATACCCATGGCCAGAATTTGTCTTTTCTGGAAGATTGATTAATGAATATTCCGAATTGAAACAGCGGAGAGGCTATGACTGAAGTCAAGATGAGCCCTGCCACTAAGATAAGCCTCAGTGCCGTCCCCTTCCGTGAAACATATATTTGCTGTGCCCATACAACTGTCATAGACTTCAGTTTCTTTCTTCATGTTCCTGCTCTAAAGAGTTGACCTAGCAATCGCAGACCAGAATGAAAGTTCGTGCTCATAGAGCGTGTCGATACTGTCAGGTCAGAAAAAAACGCTGCATTGGGGGGCGTCCTTGTCAAAATTGCGTTGAAGATGGTAGAGAGACCTGTGAGTTTGGCCTCACTGAGATTGGTGGAAAGCGAGATGTACTTCGACTTCAGAAGAAGCAGGTGTTCCCAAGGCGCAGATCGGCCTGCTTGCGGTGCCGCGGCAAAAAAGCACGTTGTACTGGCAAGGGATTTCCGTGTGGAACATGTACCGCAAGCGGGCTTGGAAGCACGTGTGAGTTTCCAAAGACAGAAACTCGTGCCGAAGACACGGCATCTCCAAATCATTGCAATATCACCACCAAGTCACCTCGAAAGGACGTTTTAGGTCCGGATCAGATCCAACGGCCTGAAAGATCTGTCCGTGAAGGATGCGATATTGAGTCGATATCCTTCACCTCCACATTTGCTGCACTTGACAGAAGTCCCGCAGGCCACGACGAGTCACTGGGAGCTGCTATAATCAGTCCTCAGGCCAGTAGCCTGACTGCAATCTCGGAGCTGAGTGAATCCTCAAGCCTGGATTTGAGCAGCTTCGAAAATGCTGTTGACTCATCTTCACCGGAAGACCGTCCTTCATTTGAGCAGCTATTCGATGTCCTCCCAGGTCGTGAGATGATTGACCACTTGATAAAAACATATTTTGCCTCTATTTCCACGGTAGGGTCAATCCATCAATAATGCCATGACATGTCCACTAACAACAACCTAGCTATTTGGCATCATTGACGCCACCGCCTTTGGAGCTGAGTATACGCTTTTCTTGCGGGACCGTTACTCAATGGATAGCTCCTGGTTAGCATTGCTTTTCGCAATCCTGGCTCTCGCGTGCCGTGCAGAAGAAGATCCGTCAAAAGGCGGTTTCCCAGATGCTGCGTCGACTTGGTATGAAGAAACCGCCTGGAAATGTCTGTCAGCCAACAGCTCACCATCTCAATCATCGCCGAGTACTTTGAAGGCAATGTTACTCATCATCTACGGTCGCACACACCGTGGAGAGAATGTTCTCAGTCAACTGCGAATGGCTTATCGGGTGGCAATTTCCACCAAAAGGCACTTCGATACTGCTCAGTGTGTTTCAAATCCCTCAGTCTGCGAAGAGTTTCGGGCTATTTCGATTGGATTGAAAACTCTCTTCATCATCAATGCTCAAATGCATGACTACTACCGCAACCCGGAACTCAGACAAGAATTGCAGCTACTACTGGATACCACCATAGAGACTTCTGAATTGACTACCGTGGAAGTGTTATCTCCCATGCAGATGACGTTCACGAACTTGTACTTTCAGCTTTTGAAGATATCAGTAACGATATGTTCGACAACAGAACTTGGTTGGAGGTCGGATTGGAGCGTCTCTGGACTTGAAACCGAGATATCACGCATGGAGGATTGCTGCAGCAAGCTCTACATCGAGTCGAATGGGGCTGTTTTGCAGTCGATGTCTCCCCACCCAGTCTTCGGTATACTGCAGTGCTACATCAACTATGTGCTTCATCTTCTCTTTTTGCCTGATCTCGAGAATTACCTAGAAGGGGATATTGCGGTCGATACAAAGTTATCTGCTTTCAAGTGTATTGCGTTTGCAAAGGCCTCACTGCGAACTTTCAATTATCTGGCTGAGAACATGCAGCCTAATGCTTATGGTTGGTATATTCGAGGGCTCGGAAGCTACTATGCCGAGCAGTCTGCATATTCTCTCGCCAGAGGTGCCGAAGAACTTGAAGGACAAGAAGATGCCGAGAACTGCCGTTCTTTAGTGCAGCGTACGTTGCAGATATTTTCTACATTATCGGGCCGCAGCATCTTCTCTGCGCGAGGAGCATCTAACCTTCAGCATCCATTAATGCCCCCCGGACCTCAAGGCTATTGCTCAGGTGTTGTTACGTGAGTTTGCTCTAGGGTTAGTGTGGACAGCTTTGTAGGTAATATGTGCCTTTCGCAGTTTTCTCTGTATTGGAAGGCACATCCTTCGCTTCGTGGCTTGGGCCATCAGTTTGTGGAGCTGGAATTTCTTTTTTGTATCATATACGCCATCATTACACATGCTTGCAATTAATATCCTTTCAGCTGAAATTCCACACAGAACTCCACAAATGAGGTTTCAGAACTGTAGCTTCCGTAAAGAAGAATTGAATTACTCGCACCGTTTGGGCCGCCCCGAAGCTCTGCCTATGATCGGATAGGTGATTCTTCCGATGGATAACGATTCGATCATTCGACGGAAGGAAATTGATCGTTGTATGCATGTATTACAGCTACGTCCTCCCAAAGAGCTTAATCACAGCCGCCACTATGTCTGAAAGATCAGTTGGGCAGTATAAAACACCATTTGCCTCCCGGATTAAGCACGGTAGTCTATTTTCTCCGTTCCATTCTTCGAGGACAAAAACAAGCCCAGTCATCTAGAACATCGAAACTAGCCCTCATTTGGTTAGTCTCTCTTTCACCGCAGATATGACATTCAATCAAAGCATGTCATTCGACAACAGCATTCGACCTTCGGTCATGGAGATGATGGGATATACAAACTTGGAAGCACTCGCGCCGCCCCATGAAACGGTCACCGAGGTGGTAACATCTCTCCGGTCGCGACCAAATGTAGTGTCAGGGCCCACTACGTATGGAAGAGGGGATAGAAAAGCATGCAACAGCTTTCTGAAATTCGGAATCCAAGATGGTGATGTATGTTCTTCAGTTTAGTACAAGTTGTTCCACGCTCAATATAGTTGCAGTTCACTAGAAAGGTCGAAGAAGCGATCGGCAGGCATCCCTTCCCTCTCCACCAAGGCCCGGTCATCGTCCAATCGTCCAACCTTCCAAGCAACTGGAATATCCATGCCGCCCACCCGTGCCAAAAGGGAGTATCCATGTTTCGAAGCGTCTCGGGCAATCTGGAGCGTGGTGTGACAACTCTAAAGCTCTATCCGCTCTCCCACAACGTGTCAAGCACCGAATTTGCACAGGAACGAGGAACACCGCGATCGTTTGATTTGAAATCGACTGACGTACTTTTTGTTCGAGGCGCGATCAAGATGGAGACTTCGGTGCCGGCTGGAGGGTTTTTCGTATGGCAAGGATTCTCTGAAAATCCGTGGGGAAAAGATCCAGCAGCATGTGAGGCGCCCGCTTTCATGAAGATCTAGTGCACATCATTGCAAGCTTGGATCAGCGTGTGATTAACACAGCATGTCTATTCAACGTACGTTAGCTACAATATATGGATATTGTTCGTATCAATTTACCGGGATACACTCCATGAATGTATTGGTAACTGATTCTCAGGCAGTTCAGGTTTTGTGCCTGATCTATAACGGATCTGTAATTTCCGTTTCGCAGCATCCCCACCGTCCTGGATTCTTCATTCCAGGTCAAACAGCGGAACGCATGCAGGACTGGTATCAATAGCAACGTGATTCCGGGTCCAAATTCAGATTCAAACCGTATCAGCTTGCGACCATGTTGAAGTGCTTTCTTTGTTTTGTCACTATTAGGCACTTTCTCTTCTCGAATGAAAATGGCCATGGTCCCTTGTCGATGGGACCCGGAGCATGGCGTAGGCTGATTGCGTCCGGTCCGTCGGAGCCAATCTTGCTCCCACAAAGCTAGGTTGGTCCAATAATGAATTTCCTGCAGCCGCTGTAACCACAAGTGGGTGTTATTCCCTGTTGCTATGAGTTCCGCAGCCCGCAGACCCTCGTGGCCCGATGCCCCTCCCAGGATGACTGGGGTCAAGTCGGTTCCGAGAAAGCGGAGAAAAGAATCCAGCTGCATTGACAAGTCTGATAGCAGCTTTTCCGCAGTGACTGGGGGCATTTTGTCTGATGGAAATGGGCTGTGAGTACCTAGAATCAGAAAAGTTGGGTCGGCAGGGGTTATCACGCACGCATCCAGAAAGAGGATAGGTTCGATCATACTGCATGATTAAACCTGCACACTCCAATGCGATGTCAGAACGAATACGCTATGTACCCCCCCCCCTGAGTACGAAAGACGACAACCTTGTTTTCATTTTCTATAAATCTTATTTGACGCAAGCTTCCAGTTGATGCTCGCTGATTTGTGCATATGTCGAGTTGAGTCTTTACTGTTCCCTATCTGAATCTCCACCTATCATGAGCATTCTACAATTCTTGCAGTGTCTGGGTCGCTCAAAGGTCGAAGAACTATTTCATCCAAGTCGCCACATATGTGCTAATACTCTGTGTAGCGTACAACTGCCCTCGTCAGTGCAATGGAATCTTCTCCCGACGAGACAGGCAGCACCTGGCCAAAGGCAACTTGGGCACATATTCTGGGCTCCTGTTTTGAATGCATACATTTCAGCGACCTCCTGAGGATCATGCTTTACAGCGCCAAGGTGGGTGCAGCTGCACGTCCTCAAGTGGTCCAGGTGCGGTCCATCCAGTACGATTTCAATGACGAAAAGAGATCCCTCGTTCTTGATCAATTGGAGGTTGAAGTCATTGTGGATGCTACCAAGAAGACAGTCGTTCAATATATGCAGTATCCAGATGTGATGGTCATGGATGGAGGCGCGGATGCAGTGGAGAGGTTTTCGCCTATTCCACACACGGTAACATGAACCACCCATGAATTGGAAGTGGATAATTACACCAATTTTGTACGCCTATGCTCATCTCTCCCTGGTATAAATTCGAAGTCATCATTGGATATCATGCAATGAGAACCCATTAGAGTAGTTTATCAAGCTAGATATCCCATCTTTTCTACCTCAGAGTGGGACATTGTCGGAAAAGGAACCATCTCCTCACACCAAAAACAAACAACATATCCGCGCTCGCAGACGCCCCTTGCGGACCGTTCAGAGACCATATCTACGATACTGATCGATGGTATATGAATCTGGATCGTATTATAAGAAGTACTCGTCGCGATTGGGCGGATTGTGGTGTTGGATCAAACTTCAAATTAATTGATCATACCCGTTTCTCGTAAGCACACCGAGGAGGGTACGAGATCTGAACCATACCCAATAAGGTAAAAATAATGACAGAATTCTTTGCCCCTTTTGCGACGTCACACGTAGGTCATAGCTCATTGCATATGAATATTACGGGATGAAGTGGAAATCAACTCTAGGCTCTATAGATACTGGCCGAAAGATCAGCAATGTTGAGTTTGCCAAACTTGAACCGTGCAGTGATCCGGCTCATCTACATAGCATTCCAAGCTGTAGCATTTCCCCTGTCGGGCGCAAAGTCCATTATACTTGGAACGACGCATATGACTTTTGACAGTCGATCCATCGTTCCCAAATTGCGGCAAGAGCCTGCATTCATTGCAGAAATTTATCGTTAACTTCTTAGGAAGAAGAGTGATTCTGTAAAGCTCAGCAGACAGTGTCAAATCCCTGAGTGGACGCCCACGAGTGGACGAAACAGGATAGAACATGAGGACATGAAAACGCCGGGGACTTCCATTCCGTAATGTGATAAGAAAAAGGACACACCGTAATCCTGTTGGGATAGAATTTTCTGTGAAATGGCTGTGGAGCTGCACCAAGAGTGTCACCTACTGGCGTCGGTCGATTTGGCCATGGACTACGCAGCTCCAGGCTGAAGTCCAATTGGCTTCTAGCTATCAAGGATAAGCAGCCAATGAAGACCAAGTCAAGTTTCAGGAGACCCAAACAAATAATTGTTTGGGTTGCCAGAGCTAGCCAATTGTCTTGGATCAACGAATAGTATCGATAGAGACTGGCATATGCGAAGTTCTTTCAGCGCCTAGGCCATTAAATCGCAATGTAGGCATAAATAAACCACCCAATGACGCTATAGATCGCCAATAATCATGGTTTGTCTGCTGCGGGCCCACAGTAAATTACTGGCGAAGAAATGGTTGGAGGTAGGACCAGGGCAGTTCGGGACACCTTTTTGAGGCAATTGGCTATCATTTCATCCACTAGGCTCCTAGGATTCTTACAGAGCACGGATCCCCCTACCGCTCTGCTCACAGTCAGGCGGAAAGCCGGTGTCAAGCCCTTGACTGCGGATCCCCCCTTCGGATCTCAGCACTTTCATTTCTTCATAAGGCAGAATATAATTTTACCTCACATTCCTGCTGGCTTCGACATATTACTTACAGGTAAACCTGCTGCACAGATCTTTGGGGTGTACAATAATTTACCGCAGGCTAAAGCATTGTTGTGACAGTGTGTATCAGCCACCTCGGCCCATTCTAAATCCTCAAGAAAAAGGGCCTAAGCTGCCGAACCAATACTTGCGTCACCTTCATCCATCTTCGAGGAACAGAAGCACAAGAACCATGGTTCAGAGGACTGGAAACAATCGCAGCCCCATAAAGACGGTTGGGCCCAAGAAGCGTCCAGAGGGCAGCAAATAGCGCAGGGCGGAGGGCATCTGCCGAAAATGAATAAGTGGATGGTAGAGATCACTAGAATTGATACAACATCGATTCTCATATCGTCAAATAGCGGGATACCATTGCTCGCTTGTTTCGAAGGTCTCAATCGCATTCTCACGGAATGCATTACTGCTCTAGGCCCCTGGCGAGGCGATTCTTATCAGAATCCAAGCGTTTGACTTGTTGAAATATATACAGACTCACGAGGAGCAGTACCGCCTATTCTGGAATTGGATATTGTGTTTAGATATTGGTAAATGGATTGAAACGCTCAGCTCAGGTACATGCAAGGATGAGTTCAATCAAGTCTGTTCTTCCTGAGCCCGCGAATGCTCTGCTGCTTTCAATTATCCTGAATATGGATAGGTTTTTCATGCGTTGCCCAACCTTCTTTTCATGTATAAGGAATCTGTATTGTTATATATGAGTACACAAGAAGTTCAATGATTTTCTCCCTCGTTGGGGATGTCACTGCTCTTATTTCCTTCAACTGGGCCCCAAGCCTTGGGCTCAAACCTCCGGCGGTTTTCTCCATTGATATCCTTGCCTATCTCTAAACATTAGATCAATATCATCCAGCAAATATACCATAGGCTCATCATTGTGCTTTTGGTGGTCGCTGGTTCCACCAAGACAGCCTTCAACACTGACAGATGCAGGGGCATCGTTGAAGCCTCGGGTAGACTTCGCATTCCTCAAACCCCTTTCCCATGTGAGTAAAGGAACTGAATTGTTCACAAGTTCAGTGTTCGTGCGTTCTCGTTCGTATGGTACGCTGTAATAGACCGACTAGTTCACGGCACAACCTGCGCAAATCTCATACCCGTTAGCAACAACCTTTCACTGTAACGCAGCACTATGAGAATGAACAGACCTAGTTGCATAGCTTTTTCCTTGGTCCCCATGATATCTGATATAGCACTTGTTGGAGGGATTGGTTCGTGCCTTTGAGAGAGCAGCTGGCCAGGAAGTCAACTCTTCGTCCGCAAAAAATACCTCGACTCCCTTAGGAATATCCTAGTGACTCCATATGAACTGAATGAATGTGAGAGTGCAAATGGAAAGGGGTTCCCCGAGGGAGATGTGGACGGAGAGCAGAGTACGCCACTTGAAAATTGGAGACATCCTCGATGAAGAGGAGCTGCTCTTGACTTTTCCAAGCAAATGTATCCCTCCTGTGGCTCTTGCTTCCATCTCTGACTGTCCAGCAACGTCACCGAGATGACCATCAGGAGGTCTTCAGTAGTAGGATGTGTTTGTAGACAGTGGTCGGTGAGAACGTGTCAAATCTGGCGTGCTGTTACATAACGGCACTTGCGATGAAAGAGGTCTGAGTTTGGTTGAGGGTGTAATGTTGTTTGATCTTGGAATGCGAGGTAGAGAGTTTGCGAGAAGGAGAAGAAGCTCAGCACTACCTGTCTGTTTTAGGTAAGGCACCCTTGGATTGTCTTCTCTTCACCACTGCCTCACGCACCTCAATACCCTGGCCTAGCTTGTGTCTTTCACCTGCCAGCTCTTGAAAATAAAACACACGCTATATCCGTGTGACAAACTTTCTTTTCCGTCCCATCCTTTCCGACGAGTTCAAGTTCACTGAGTTTTCAAAGTCCCCCCAGCAGAAGCTTTCATATTGAACCCCGAAGTCTAGCCTTTGAGATGCTTCAACATGTAGTATCTCTCTGGCAGATTGGTAACTTGTGCTAATTCATACTATTTATAGCACCGACAGTCCTCAGGCCCACCGAACTCTTGACCTCTCCCATCCGTCTCTTCGTCAACCGATCGTCGTGCATGATTTCTCGATTTTCGACCAAAATACCTGATAAAGCTGCTTTCGGCAAGCATTTTCGTAATTTTATTATTGGAGTTACAGTTTCCTATACTCTTATCAGGACGAAAGACCTGGCGTGGGCTCCAAGGGCTACTTGAACGCTGGGCAAAAGCTCCCCGACCGCACAGCTCTCGCGCTTTGTTGCTTCAACATGATGAAGCTGCCGCATACCATACAATAATCTTGTTGATCTCTTGAGGTCAAAAGGCTAATCCTCAGGATCGCTAGCCGAAAGCTGCCTCTGTTGAAGACTCTACCTCGTTATGCGCAGTCATATATGAAGGGTACTCGTGGCGTCGATTGAGACATACCGCAACTCCGGAAGGAAGCACAACTAGTGGTGCAGGGTGAATCTTCCTATGGCTCAAGGGCTCTCATCGCTAGGTGAATGCAGCCCGAGGCCATAGAGAACACTTCTCATGGCCAGCCTTGGCTCGAAGTTCAACGGAAGACACACACCCTGCTCTGGTACAGTACCATCAAGTCCACTTCTCACTTCTCCATATTCTATGCAGACAAGATAACTACATAAACTCTAGCTTTCCATCCAATCTACTTCTTCCCACAAAACTCTCTCAAGAAGGTTTCTCTACTCATGTCTCCGTTGGCAAATATAGCCCGGCCACTTGCAGCATCACGTAGAATCACAGTTTCATGCCTCGAGCTATCCCGTCCAGTGCTGATCATGCTTGTGTTATCAATTGTGCAGTCATTGAAGACATAGGTTCGTCGAGTCTCATGGCCAATACCGTTAGGCTCCCCACCGCAGGGCATGATGGCTAAGGCAAGTCAATACTCAAGTTTTGTACTGACAATGCGTATCATAAGTACCTAGGTGTCTCTGTTTGTTCGAAATAGAAAGATGATCATTGGACTGAAGTTCATCATCTCCGGGGGACTTTCGGTCCTTTGTAAGATAATTTCAATCAGTACAAGTTTCTGAGGGTGTAAGAAATCCCAGACAAGCTTCGAGGCTAGGTTTACCGGGTCCAGACCATCCCTCATGGAAGTCAAGTTTGATCGAGTCTTGGAATTTCATCAGTCACAGGACACTTCGAGGAGAAAGGAGGCTATCATGAGCATGGTACATACCAAAGCATTCCTCTCCATCTTTTTCATGTCTGACTGGATAGGCTCGTGCACCGCTGCAGGGCTTACACCTGAGTCGGTCTCATCTTGAGCTGATGCACCCTGGGAACTGTCTTTGAGCCATTTGAGGGTCATTCTGGAAGCAAATTTCTTTCGTGTAATACCATGAAAGGGAGATTGCACGGGTAGTGTTGGAAAGCAGGGGAAGAGAGGCCAGAAAGAGGGGCAGTGGATCGACCAGGGGCCGACGTGCCATATTACCCCTAGTATTACCTATGTACAGTACGGCTTGGTATGATTGCTATGTCCTTGACATGGGACCAGCTATAGACCCTTTAGTCTGCCGCAGGACCCTGCGAGCAAGCCTCAGCGTTAAAGCCAGGTCATACAAAACATTATGGTCAAGAGCTCGACATTGGCGCCAGTTGCGGCTTGCTCAGACTAACGCTTTAAGCAAGATCCAAGTTCGGTTCCTCTGCGCTATCCTCCAATGAAGTTGAGGCGATGAAAACCAGTTTACATACGTGGTTAGAGCTCTACACTAGTACAGTGCCCTGAGAGCGAGACAGAAGCGCCAATCCTTCCCCGAATCCTCGCTTTTAGATGCCTGTCCAACAATCCTGACAATCTAGACCTTGCATTCCATCATTACTGATTGTTTGATATACCGGTTTTTGCTGGGAAATGTCCAGGGAAGGTTTCTTGCTCATATGATTGGGAACATTCTCCACCCCGGATCAACATGGACACCCGAGATCAGTTCTTGTTTGATCAGATGAATTACCCAAGCTCATATTTCGCATATCATAACGTTTCAGCTTACTGTCCGGTAGTAGATGTGAGGCTCCCTACGACTTATTATAGAAACGACGATTGCGGCTACGAGCAACCAACGGTACCATTTTTGGCTGCGCCTTCCGCGCCCACGGTCTCCCTCCCGCCGCCGCCTCCCAGATATCGCGCGATCCAACCTCGACCCGATACAAGTGGCATTCAGGTTAAAAGCAGAGATGATACTCCGCTTCTGTTTGAGCTTCGAAAGGGTCGGAGAGGTAGAATGCCCAGAAAGAGCCAACAGAAAAGGAATCGCAAGTCCAAGTCCACTCGGCGAAAGGCAGACACCAACAAGGTTACTTCAACTAAACCAGAGTCACAGAGGTTTGCTTTGCCCATTTCTGGATCTTCTTACTGTTTCCAGTCTAAATTACGGATAACAAATTCAGTTCCACGGTCTTCAACCGATGTACGAATTCCGACCCGGGCTCGAGCAGCCAACAGTCCACTTTCGCTCCTGGTGTAATGCCGCCTACAAACGACGCTTTCATCTCAGGGACGAACCAATCGTCAATTTTTCCCAATTACGCATCCGAAACGCCTGCCCATGTCCGGTCAACCGATCATCCCGACGTACACGGCTCCCTTGTTCGGTCAGATAATCACTCTCAATGGCCGAGCATGTCGCTCGGGATACGCCAGAGCCAAGATTATGTGGAAGTAGCCTGTGATGAATTGGCAGTGCATCTTGAAAAGGAACAGGCTCTGCAATCTTTGTACATTTTGCAGGATTATATGGCAAAGCACCCTTCTATCTTTGAAGAGCAAGCACCCGAGACGGTTCACCGATGGCTGGCTGGCATAAACAGCATGAATCAGCCAGGCCCATGCCCATGATAAGTAGAGGCAGACCCAGCAGAACAGGTTGCTTAGATGACATATGAAACAAATTCTCGTGGGAGCCACATGCTCAGCATCAGCTATCAGTGAACCAAAAGATAGAGGCTCAGAACAGTACCGCACGGGCTTTCCAGTATTACGATGAGCAAAGAAGGCCAAGAAACGCGATCATACACCTTTTTCAGCAGATTAACAAGTCTCTTCTGGATGCCCCCGTAAAGCGACAGATCTTAATCCAAGACCAATGATGTTGTCGAGAATAATAATAGCTTTCACATTACACAACGAAATGATATCGTCGATATATGCTAGATCTTTGGTCGGTGATGGAATGTGCCATTTGGTATTCCTGGCTATAGTAGTAGTCAGAAGAGTCTGGGTCCTCAATCAGAGTTGCTCGGGCTGTTGGAACCCTGGATCCGGGCATTTTCATGGAAGGAGAATAAGCATCGACGAGCAATTAGAACTGATCAGTATTGCAGTGTGCTGTACTGTACTAGAGTACACGACTCTCGCTAAAAGTGGAGATTATTTCACGAATTAAACTCAGTCGAGTTTCTTACCTCCCTTCTTGACATCATTTATAGGAGAAGCATGATGAAAGTAGCAAAGAATGCGAATGACTATTCCAGAGGTGATTTTTGAAACCATCGTCAAAATCACACACCGCTGTCATTGGACCAGTCTTGCCACAGCTACACGTTTAGCAAGAGCCCTCAATTCTCTTGTGTATCAAGCCACGACACAGCGGACTGATCCAATGTCCAATATGACCCGGCTGTGCTATTAGGAGCTCACACCTGACCCAAATCTAGTTCAATTTTCTTCAATTTATACAAAATCAGCGCTGAACAGAATGATAAAGGGATTGACAAATTCAATGAAATGATAACGACATCTTTCACCATGCCTGAGACAACGTAGATTTATCATTTCATTGGAAAAGGTACCTCTGAAGTTCAGCAAAAAATCAAAAGAAAAGAAAAGAAAAACAGAAAATATAAAAGTAAAAAAAGGAAATCAAGACAAAAAATAATACTAACCATTAGCATGCTCTTTGATTAAGTGGATCAGTTCCGACCCGCACACAGCAAGAGCTCCACCCGGGCGTACTGTATGACAAGATGTTTTGGTATCGGCCACGTAAATACGCTTATGGCACCCACTCTCTAAGAAGTTCCCCGATGTTGCAGAAACTATGATTAGAACACCTGGAACAGTCTAGAACTAGGGCACGGCAGAGCCTGATACACCCGGGCTTTCTAGGTCACATCAATGGGGCTTTTCGCCATCTACTTAAACGAGCATCTACCTCCTTTTTTTTCAGGACCATCAATCTCAGCTACATTGATCAAGTCCCAGGGTATGAGACGGAAGCCGTCAATATGAAAGGACACACTTCAAACATACAAATGGACAAACAGTTGGCCAATCCCATCCCCGAAAACCAGCTGCTCAATGAAGTAAGAGAAATATACGATGAGTTAGTTATTGCAGAAAGAGAATGCATTAATGTGGTGGATATCGTCTCACAAATAGACCAAACCGCGGGACTATCGGATGAACAATGGAGCTTGTGCACCTCGTTGCACCAAACACTCCTCCACAAGCATTTTGACTTTTTCATTGTTTCGCAGCATCCGGCAGCCAGCCCAATCTTGAGAAGCCTGGCTCAAAGATACGAGATGCCTGGACGCATGTGGCGCTACGGAATCTACTCCTATCTGGAGCTGTTTCGCACAAGGCTCCCCAGCCCCAGTGTGCAGGACCATATGCTAGGCTTCATATATTTCTCGTATTCGATGGTGACGCTTCTTCTAGAGCAGGTCTCCACATTTGAAGAAATCTGGACAGAATGCTTGGGGGACCTAGCACGCTATCGTGCTGCAGTGGAGAATTCCGATGAGACAGTCCGCCATCACTGGGTAGACATTTCCAGAGATTGGTACAATCAGGATATCGATCAGTAATTTAGAACTGGCCAAATTCAGCACTATCTTGCCGTTATCTCTCGTCCGGATACTTTGCAGATGTTCTTTTACTTCTCGGAAGCATTACTCAGTGTGGACCGATTTCCCAAAGCGCGGGAAAGCATGATTCAGCTGTTCAACGATATTCTAATCGCACCGGCTGAGGAACACACATTGATTAGTTCTTTTGCGGCTGCCCATGGTGTTATTTTCAAGCGTATGCCATATGACCAGTTTGTCATTCGGTTCAATTTCTTCCTTTTAAAAAATCATCACAGCCGATCGCCTAGTCTCCCGGAGGCACGAGAAAGCACGTTAATCATGTGCTGCAATATTGCAGCGATCTTGGACTATGGAGAAGGGAACGGGGAGTTTGCAACGGACTTTGCTCACAACGCAAGTACTTCTACTGCAGACGCCTATATCATTGCAAAGTACTGGGCATCTGCAACAGCACATATTGAATCAAACAGGCATGTCTATACTGTACAGTACCTGGAACTCTGCACACTGTACTTTAGTATATTTTACTGACCATATCTCGACATCTAGTTTTCTCGCTGGATAACATATGATCAAACACAATTTACGACTACCAGGCTTGCCTTTCAATTTGCGACAGTTGCTCAACATCCTGAACACTTCAGTCGAGGTTCTTACACTGCACCTGCGCCTGTGGAGTGGAAATCAGGGGACTTTGGAAATGAAGGCACGGGTGCTGGTCCGAATTTAGGCCTGTTGAGGCGATGCATTTGTTTAGCTACTGTTATCTAAGTTTTGTTGATAGCTCCCAAAATATGTGAAGCTCTCAAGGCTAGCGAAGATACAGAGTAACTGGTGTGTAATTCCTCGACTCTGATGCCCCAAAGAGGGAGTGCCGCATTTGTTGTTGGTTGACTTATCATTTCCCGGATTTGCCACTCAAGTCATGTACATTACCCCTGTCAGACTTCGAGATGAAGGAAATGCCGTCGAATGTGAACCGTCCTTGCTACAGTATATAGACAGATAGGGTGATAGCGGTGGGAGTCTGTCCAGCCCAGCTGCACATACGAGGTTCGTTATGCCCTGCTTTGTGGTCCCAGTGTCGTAAACCTTCTATCAAATTGCCTTTTTAATCATATGAACAAGTATGAGCAAAGTTTTCCCAAAGTATGATGATAATGACCAGAGTCCGTATTTCCGCATCGCCGTGTTCAATGTCAAGCTGTAACTATCTACAGATACAAGGGTTTTACTTTTTGGCTTTCCTCCCCCGTTCTGCACTTATTGATTGAAAGGACAACTACAATATTGCAACCAGAGTAAATAAGTAAATGCACTAGACCTCGTCGATCTGATATCAGTTCACTTGAGCGTGATCTTTTTCACGGGTGCAGTCAAAGAAAGAACGTTTCCTTAATTCATGCGGCCTTTCTATGTCTGTCCTGATAGAATCAATAGGTATCCATGACAGTATTCTGATGCCAACATGCACATCATCATTTTCAATAAACCGGTTACGCTCCTGTTGATGGCTTGTTGATTCCTAGAGGCGTAAGTGGCGCTCCTTGCACTATAGCTTAGTCTTTTCAGAGTGACTTGATGGAGCAGATTTGTGCGCAGGATTGGTGAAGGTGTTTCTTGAGGGCTCTGCGGGGATTTGAAAGGTACTATGGTCACTCTATGATGCTGAAGTATGCTCCCAGGGGCTCTGCAGCTCCTGGATCTGGATGTTTTATTCCCAGAGCCATTTTTTGTTCCGTCAGGAGCATAGTGTAAAGATCCCAGGAGCAGATCTCGTCTTCCTGGAGCCTAGAATAGCCCTAGAAGCTAGAAAGCATTTCCTAGGGGTGCAAAGCTCCTAGAAAGGCTTTGTGTTCTGATTTTCAGCCTCAAGCTGACAGTTACAAGATACACGGCTCACCAAGAATCAGATCAAGCTTCTCCAGGATTCTGGGCCCCATTGTGGCATTAGACAGAAAAAGGGGATGAGATAAAGTTCCGCGGCGATGAATTCACCCTAGGACCTCGCGTATGAATATGAGACATATGGGGCCCTAAGAGATCCAGTAATCATATTGAAAAGATATTGTCGCCTCCAAACTAGGGCATGAGTCGAAAAAGGGATCCATCGGAGGGTCCCTGGGCAACAGGAACAGCCGGATACTTCTCGTCGGTTATGAATTTAAATTACTAGTGATACTAGCCCGTACCGTTTTTGGTGGTGACAATTTCTCGACACAAGCGCCGTCAGTGATCTTTCAAGCACCCAGGAAGCCACCTTCAGCGGGCACCTGTTGGAAACCTCGACGAGGAACTGGAACTCGCAACGGATGAGGCACATCCCCGGATATTGTGGCCGCACTTTTTGACGCCGGCGCTCGTGTAATATCTGCGGTTGACATGCTCTCTGAGACACAAGAGCAGCGCCTAGGCATCATTCCCCAATCCTTCGTAGAAGATCGTGAAGAACAAGCCAGCTAATAGGACACAGGTAGCACCTGGTAAGATGTCTATCGCTTCTCTAGCCACATTATGTCATATATGTAGCCGCGATGCATTTTTATGGATAGAAGAATGCAGCAGCTAGTTCGCACATTCTCCATTTATGGTATACTGGCTAAGATCGCCTCTGTCAAAATAATCATCATCCCCTTCGCAAGGTGCGGATGCACAATTATAGAGAAATAGATGACGGATGAGAGCCAACAGAGCGTTAGGGGCGATATTATGGCCAAAACGAAAGAGAGTATATCATGTGTAATTAGGATATGCCATATTAGCTCTACTGGCAGGATCTTAGATCGACACATCTCAATGTATCCCCATACATGGATACGTATTTAAAAATTTCGTTTGATATTTTCACGGAGTGCTCTATGCAGGAACTCAAAAACCTGCAATACGGCTTCGCCTGCTCGTTAGATCCGGCGGGATGCCGAAATTCAAACAAGCGTATCATAGCATCCCGTGGAAAGAGGCATTAGACGCAGCCGGATATATCAGAAAGTATAAGATGAATGAGACTTAGTGGATATTGCCTTATGGTACTGTTAGAACATTCGATGTGAGTTTAGCACTGTTCAATGATTTCGCTCCCAGAAGATCGCATAATTGAAGTGAGTATTAGGGCATGTGCTAATTAATTGCCAGGGTCAGCTGAATATGTACATGTAACGTCAAGTCGTCGCATCGTCAAATTAGGAGGGGTGGGACGATGGCTTCAGGTCGGCGCGTCTCTTCGACCAACGCGAAGGGCAGTGCGCTTCAGGGCCTCTGGGGCACATGACCGAAACAATGGAATGATGAGTGGAAATACTTCCTGGTTGACAGTATTTTGCCCATTAACGCTGCCTTACGACAAGCTTGTTTCCCGAGCACGCCAGACCATATGCAAGATACCATACAAGCCTGTATATTCGACGAGCGATTTCCATAGGTGGAGATCTATAGTATCCAAAATCATGTTTAGATTAGCGTAAATTATAAATAATAACAGAGAAGAAATATTACTCAATTTTCGACAGTGTGTGCGTATTTCAAGACTTGGCCCGAGATCATAGTTACAAAGACGTGAAAGATATGATTTATTACGTTCAATATGGCATCCGCAGCCTATTCGTGACTCGTAATTTGGTAAGACTGAAGAAGAGCAATTATTTCCTCTTTATACTTGGGAATTCGAATAAACTCTGCTGCTGCTAAGGGTGGTTCGCCATAATAACGTTTACCAAGAGATCGCGCCGTAGGGTCTGCGCCCGCATCAAGTAATATTTTGACAAGATTAGGACGACCACTCCAGACAGCATAATGTAAAGGGGTACCCCATTCAGCGTTAATTTGGTTAGGATCGAGACCCTTCGCTAGTAAAAAAGAAGTCTTTACCGGTGCTTGGCGCGTGCGTGGTCGGAGGGCTTTAAAAAGAAAATCATTTTCTATTCTCGCGCCGTACTCGAGAAGAACCTCAATCAGAGAGGTATCGTCGCTGCTTATAATAGCGCCCACGATGATAGGTATCCCCGACGGTCCGATACCGTTAGGGTCCGCGCCCCAGGAGAGCAATTCGCGAGTACATACGGGATCCGCCATGAAACTATTAGTTTAAAGGGTTAGCCTATAGAACTCGATCAACAGTCTTCACACTTACGCTAGAATAGGTTCGCCGTTAGATCCGGTCGCGTTAGGATCTAGGCCATGATTGAGAAAGAGGCGAACGATACCCACGTCTTGCATCAAGTCAGCCCCGGGAAAAGAATCTATCGCCGATGTCGATATCCCAGCACCAGCGTCGAAGAGTGCGGCCACGATATCGGTGTGCGTTTGTCCAGTGGCGTTCGCGAGCCCCTCATCAAGGTTTTCGACAGAAAGTCGCCGGGTAGCGAGGGCTTCCTGGACCTTTAAAAGCTCACCGTCGTAGCACGCATCAAGAAATACCTCGACGAAGGAAGTATCTTCTATTTCCATGATGTAGATAAAATAGAATCGCGTGCAAAGATGGAGCTTGAGATATTTATGACCCGACTGGACATGAAAAATGATGGGGAGAGCTTGGTATCTCGACGAAATGGAGATAGCAGCAAAAGGAGTTATGGAATCCGACGACACGAGAGAGTGAGAAAGAGAGAGGGGGGAAGAGATGAGGTGATAATCTAAGCATCGGAATAGTGTTGTCACCTGACCAATGAAGAGAGGGAAGGTTCACCTAGAAAGGCGGACCTCCATCTCTATCGAAACACTTGTTAGATACGAAATTCATAGACTCCCTTGGACCTGTGTAATTAATCATTTGTTTTAATTTCATAAATTGGGGCCCGACTGATTAAACCTGGTCCGAACCCCTTTGAGGTCCCTCGAGGGTCACCTGCGGGTCCGAGCGAGGCCCGGCCTGTGCGAGAATCCATAGAAGGATGTTTTTGAGCAGGTAGCTGCAGACCTGTTCGGCCCCCAAAGCGTTTTTAATTTACCGGTGAAGCCCATCTTTTCTGTTCAAGTTCATTTTTGTCTCATTTTCGTCGTTGGTACAAAGCCCGCAAGGGAATGCCAAGGAATGCCAAGAAGATAGTGAGCTTAGCTCAAGTACTGTAATGTCTCAGTCGCCACGGCATTGAGTCAATACCGTGCGCAAAGAGAGCTTTGCTTCTGTAGTTATTGACCATCGATACTTCTTGAATCTGAAATATCCGGACATTAATACTAGTCAGTAGTTGCTTGGTCTGACTACACATTCATCGAGTGGGGCAAACGGGCAAACCTTGGGCCTTGATCCTACTGGACTTGCGATGGAAAATATTCGATACAGATACGTAGTGGTATTTCCCGAACTTGCGTCTTTCCATAGCCCCAATAGATTACTTATGAGAATCGTACCGTTGGCTAGGACTAAACAGAGACAAGGGGTTCATGTATTCTGCTTAGGTCCGGAGGTTTTTCCGAATAGAGATTGCTCGTTCCAGAAACTCGAATATCGACTGGATGTAAAAATCTCTGCCATTATTATTCGAACCGCTTACATTCAGCCTGCCTTTGTAAGTTTGACTGATTTTGGTGACCTAATATAAATATATATTTTAGTATCAACCTAGCCATCAACTTATTTGTCTTTAGTATAAATGTATTACTGGAGGCCATCGTGTCACCGCTCCCTTTTATTCATGTCATCTCTCAATCGCTACTGTGTCATCTCTTGCCTCCCTTTTTTGCCTCCCATCTTATGAACGACCATGAAACTATTTTGGTCGCTAATATGGCTTGCCTTTGCAGCTTCTGCGAAGAACACGCTCGTCATCGGTGATGATTCCCACGTATCTCGAACAACATCACTGCAAAACTAACCGACGGAAATTTATAGACACCGTCGATAATCTGCTATTAGAAGGAGATGTCTCACACCTTGTCAAGCGTGGTTCTCGCGAGAAATGCGGGCCTAAATTAGCTGACAGTGACAACACCAAGCGCAGTGTAGGGTTCATTCTCTTTGAGCGCAATGTCACGACCCTGGATAAACGGATGGAACTACCTAAGAGAAGCATGGGTCTCTTTTACGACAAGGAGTTCGTCAGACTTACCGAAAGGGTTGTACCACACGACAGCGCATCTAGAGCTGAGTATATGAGCACCGGCGTTATGACAACATTTGCCAGTTTGCCTCAGGATAAAGTGTATAGCAATGGCGGACAATTGTCGGGCTGCACTACATTATATGTCATCAGCCGCAAGGGGGTGTATGCTGTGCACTGGTGGGAAAATGTATCCTTCGATCCGGATCTGGTGTGGCGGAGGCCACGAACCCAAACAACAGAAGACATTTTCCAAAAAACGGTCCTCGATATGTTGACCAACGGAGGGAGATACCATCCCAAACTAGACGCCAGTCTTATCGAGGACAACTGGATCAGGGCCTATCTTTTGCACCCAACGGAGGCTTGGAACGCTGATGAAGGTGGTCAGCCCTATACAGCTCAATGGGAGATGATTCGGACCCATGTCGGCCAATTGATACCAACATTGCAAGATCAATCACGCTGGAAGGACATTCCATATGAGGCATTAGATGACGAGGACCCACGCCTCAGAATGCTAAAGGCAACCGCGGGAAGGTATCTTTTCAAGTACGACCCAGCCCATATTATTGGGAGACGGCAAACAGCACAATTGGCTATGTTATGGTTCGAGGACGACAAGAACAGGTATCACAAGGATCAATGGTGATGGTAGATCTGAACAAAGTCACCGGTTTTTGCATGTAGTACGAAGAACTTACAGTACAGCAAGACATAATGTCTCGCTGATTAACGATGCTGAGCTCGATCAGGTCGTTGTTCATCATTGCGCAACACAAAGAAGTGGCAAAAAGCAGTTAAAACTCAACGGATTCGGATGACGGACTGAAATCAAACTAGACAAATTTCTGTAGACGTACGTCGTCCACTTTGAACCTAAGTTCGTAGCACCTGAAACCGCAGCCTTCTGGCTGCTCAGCCCGAGCTCACTATTGCTAAGCCCAGAGAGATCGCAAGAATAGGTATGTCTTCCTCTGCATCGAGATCCCAATTAACACGGTTGCCTCGCTTGCTCGGCTCGCAAAGCAGTAAAAGCGCAACCAAGTCCTTGGTAACCTGGATGCGTCGAGCAAGTAATTTGTCCTCATGAAAATCTTCTGCGTTAGGACCATAAAAGTTCTCCACAAGTCGAGCTCGTTCAGGAAACACGTAGTCCGGGGTAGGGAGATCCCAGTCTTCTTCAGGAAAACTATCAGCATCACGTTCCTCAACATCAGATTCGCGGAGAAGCATTTGCTTAATCTGTCTGTCAACTTCAAGCACAGGGGCATTATTGAAATGGTCCTTTCTGGCTTTCTCGCGAGTTTCAACTGCCAATGTTTCCCGAAGTTTGGCGAGGTCTTTTTTGACGGTTTCATGCATTTAGAAGAGGCGTGGAAAGGAGCCACGGGCGTTCTTGGTTGTACAAGCCAGGGACCGCATCTCCGCCATGAGTTCTCTTTTCTCGCGTCTAAGTTGCAGAACCCCAGGATTTTGACAAATAGCACGTTTATGCGCTTTGGTAAGATCAGATGGTGCCGATAGATCTCTCTTCCTGAGCATACTCCCAGCGAAACGTACCAGGCCTTCTTGGGAGGGTCTAAGAAGAACGACATGCTGAAGGTCGCGCGTAATGAATTGCGATTGGTAATGCTTTTCAAAAATTGCGTCACCAGACTGACCGAGCACCCTTTGTCGCTCCTGGCTGGTAAAATGTTCTGTGAATAGATAGTCAGCCCTGTTGTGAGAGATCCCATATATCATGGCGCAGATGAATCTTTCAAATCGTGTTCAGCAACTGACATACTGTTGACTTCATTTGCGGTCCAACGGCGAAAATTGTAATGCCCAATATCGTCTTCAAATCTAGCATCTCGGCCCAACTCCTTGAGCGCCTGCCGACTAGAATCGTAGGTCATTGGCAAAGACCTATCGAGTCCGTAGCCGTATGGCGTGCGTTCAAGACGTCGAAGGTGGGGTAGATTAAGAACTTCGGGCTTCCACCGGATGGGAAGAGATGAACTACCTTTTGGAACCCGAAGCCGCCAGATGAGCTCTGGGGTGAGGTCGGTATTGGCAAAAGCTCCATCGCGGAAAGCGAAGGCAATAATTTGAGCTATCGGGCAATATGCCAGTTGATAATCGCCGTGCATGAAAAACTTGGTTCTGTTGGGAAAGATCAGCATCCAAGTTACTTCATGAGAAATTTGAATCAAAATTTCAGCTTACCCGTCAGCGCCTTCCGGTCGACCTTTGAGATTCCGAAACTCAATGATGGCACAGAGGACATCACGTTTACTTTGAGGGTCTTTCAGGTAGAAAAGTTCAATATCACGATAGCAGACCGAGTCTGGAATATCTTTCAATGAAATGTGCTTTAGAAGATCACTCTGGAAAGTATCATCCCGTTTGCGTTTGCCCAAAGTTGGAGTACCAGGTGTTGAGGTGTCTTGAGGAAGCAAAACACCAGGTCGCGTGCCTGTGATGGCGTTACAGCGAATATTCTGGTTCAGCTTTAACGCGCCCTCGAGCTGGGGGGCGGGGTCCCCCAGAGACCCCCTTTATGGGGGTCGGCGAGGCAATTCCCAATTGCCGGGGGTGCCCCCCAAGGCGACGGGCAAGACTCGTATCCCAGCCGTTTTCTTTTCACATCTCTCAACTCGCTCCCGCCTCGGATAATTTTACACTTTATTATTGAGATTCGAGTCTTATCCCATCGCGTCCATTTGCATGAATCACATGTTCGCCGCCCGTGATCCACCTCTTCCTGTCCGTTGAGATCTCGTCGTTCACTGTATCATGTGATCCTGGTTCGTGGAAGGCTTGGATGTCTTCCCATATCTTGTATGATACACGAAAAGTACTATCGCTGTACTCCCTCAGTACGACTAGCTGTCTTTGATGCTGCACGCTTTGACTCACTTCAAGGCTCTCCTTCGTAGAAACCCCTACAGGATACTCAGATCCTTTATCTCAATGCCCTCTGAAAAATGATACTGAAGAAATAGGAGTGAAATGGAGGCAGAGCGAGCCTGTTGAAGGAGCTGATGAAGTCAGACATAGCTCCCAACCCAACCCAAGAAAGTGTGAGACCACTCCATTGTCTGCGGTACCTCATTCTGTCGATTACTGTTGACTAGGTATGCTGCTGAGAGCAAAGCATCGAGCATGACGTCCAGCGTACACAGCCTCGAATCTCATTTGTGCCATGGTGTTAGGGCCGCCGATGCTTTGATGAGGTAAACCCATACTGTTTGTTTAGTAGGCTTTTCAACGGGATTTTGCCGCAACAAAAGCGAAGATAAGGAATTTTTTGGACACCAAACAAGGCCGGCGATGTGTTGACCATGCTCAGTGTACTCCATGGGCACAATAAGGCCCGCATTGATGACAAGGCAGGAAGGTCTGCTGGTGCTGAAATTAAAATTTCGTCCACTGCTCTGCGGCAATATAAAGGATATCTAAAAGGTTGGTGTGACAAACCACCCAGTGGTCAGCGCATCTTGCCCGTCGCCTTGGGGGGCACCCCCGGCAATTGGAAATTGCCTCGCCGACCCCCATAAAGGGGGTCTCTGGGGGACCCCGCCCCCCGGCTCGAGGGCGCTTTGGAACGGAATCAGAGCATGCGCTTGTGCCTTTCAGGTAGGACAAGGCCTTTCTGTACACCAAAATCAAACCTCCATGACATATAGACGTGGTTTGTAGAGATTAAACGGCTAGGGACCCGCATCCTCGCAGCGGCGTGGGGACCAGAACGCAAATCAAAACTCCTGTCCTCACGTGTCACAGTCCGACTATGAGCTCAACTGGCTTGGCCAATTACGCGATAGGCAGATCACGTAGGTCGTCTACAAAGGCTCGTGCGAAACCGGCGCTGCGTCACTTATCGGGCATCAGATCTTCATAGCCGGCAGAGCGCGTAGCAGGTTGGTTAACTCGTATTCTCAGTTATTATACTTGACAATAGTATACTCATGAAGGCAATCGCTGCGACTAGTGACGAGGCTGATTGACTGCGTTCATGTCATATTTGCGTAGTCTTAGCAAGACATCAATGATATATATCCGCAACTGCCCTTGGCTCCTTCCTAGTAGCCCATAAATCATAGAAAGACACCCAAAAAATAGATATGAGAGCTGAGAATGGCATATGTAAAGCGGATGCACAGTACAAAATTTTCACTTCGAATACTTGCAGTAAAGAGTAGAGATGGATTTCATTAGGCATCAATTAAGATGTAATAAACTGTTCATTCATGAGAAACCTGACCACCTTCGCACACTGAACGACGGAGTCCTCCAATACGATTGTACAATGCTAACACAGGTAGGTTCGTCACCCGCGTTTTTTGTCCTGCGAACTTGCCCTGCGCACCAGTGTGGCTTTCTCGAACAAGCGGAGCGTGACGAATCTGCATGTGCGTTGATCACCAGTCCCTTCACCGCCCGATCACTGCACGTTTCACCACACCGGCATCAACGTCAACACGTCAACACGTCAACACGTCAACACGTCAACACGTCAACACACAAGCTCAAAATCTCTACTTTCACTTCACACTGGCATAACAAACATCCTACCGAAACAGCATCGCAACACAACATCGCTATGTGTTCTACACCCAAATCATGCGATTTTACGTTGCAGCAAACGGATCATCGACTGCGGAAAGACATACAGAGTGGGAATACGGGTCGCTAACGAGGAATCCCAGCTTAGATTAGTTGGTGATTGATTGTCTATGCTATGGTGCTTTGCAGCACGATACAGATTATGAAGATGTTGGGCAGGTCTTGGCTTCATCGAATGCTGTTGCAAATTCGAATACTAGTCTCTGACACCACGAAGAGGTGCCTGCACATGGTCAGAGGATCAGGACTGGCACAGCGGCGCCACGGGCCGCCTAAACAAGCACAAATTTGATAACGCAGGGCTCAAGGCTGCATGGAAGCTCAAGATTATACAGTCACAGGGCTCAAGGCTGTGAGGGAGAACTTGGTATCGCAGCGGTCTCCTGCGGAGACTCTTGGTGTCGCAGATGTCCCTGCGGAGACTCTTGGTGTCGCAGATGTCCCTGCGGAGACTCTTGGTGTCGCAGATGTCCCTGCGGAGACTCTTGGTGTCGTAGATGTCCCTACGGAGACTCTTGGTATCGCAGATGTCCCTGCGGAGAACTTGGTAATGCAGCGGTCTCCTGCAGAGAACTTGTTAACGCAGCGGTCTCCTGCGGAGTTCACTTGGTAACGCAGCGCCCCTCTGCGAGGATTGTTGTTGACGCAGACCTATCCTGCGAAGCACATTTTTACACTCGCGGGGCTCAGGGCAGCGAGGGAGCACATTTTTACAGTCACAGGGCTCATTGGCTGTGAGGGAGCACATTTTTACAATCACAGGGCTCATTGGCTGTGAGGGAGCACATTTTTACAGTCACAGGGCTCATTGGCTGCGAGGGAGCACAAGTCTTACATCGCTGGGCTCGTGGCAGCGAAAGCCGTGGTCATGGAGACCCTCAAGCCCGTAGGCAAGAGGGACACTGTGACACATCGGAGTGTGAGGACTGAAGTCCTGATTTTTTTGGGCTGGGAATTGGGCCTCTTTTATACCTTTTCGGCTGCATCTCTTCCAAGGAACCAGAGGTGCAGTTGGTAGTGAGAATAATTGTATCGTTGATAAACGTTGGCGCTTGAATTAGCGTTGAAATGTGGGTATAAAGACTTTGTAGCCGACAAATTCAAGGCCTGAATGTACTCGCGGGAACATTCTTCTCGAAATTAAACGTTGAGTGTGGTGCACTACTTCCATCAATTGCTGAGATGAGTTTAATGCCGCAAAAATGTGACTCCTTTATGTTATCGACTTTATCGAATTTGCTAACAAATCGCTCAACGCACTACAATGGCCTGGAACCTGATTGTTGTGTAGTACGATGACAACCGTGTTTTTTTGATCAACTTTGCATGCTTTTGGTGTCTTGACCCGCGAAGCAAGCTTCTTTTTTTTTTTTCTTTAATAAAAAAATTTCTATGATCACAATGGGCAGTACTGTACCTCGCCACTCTGAAAGATTGCTCCGGCGCAGAAAATCTATGATGAGATATACTGTGTTCCAATAAAGGCTGCCATAATTGACCAGAAAGGCCGAGATCGGAAGTTAGATAACATAGCAATTGACGGTTTGCAGAGTCTAAAGTCTTCATCTTTAGATACTATAATCCAATCCCCTCTCTTTTTGGATAGAACTTGGTGGTCCAGTATCAGAGAGCGACAACGGTGGAAAATGTGATACTTGATGACCAAGTGGTTAAAACGTACTCTAAATGGATCGAGAATGCGGATATAGATGTCGTCGATTTCCCATCGCGAGAGGTTCCAATTATCATCAGGGTCCATTTATGGACGACAAACCTCTCATTGAGCATATTTTGCTCCGAGACAATGATCGAATACTGAACATTGTTGCCTGGTCTTCCTCAAGAGAGGATACGATACTGTAAAACCCGAAACAACCCACGAAATACCCGATGACAATCGAACATATATACTGCCATCCATAGCAGCATCTTGGAAATCAAAATCCATTGAAGAGGTTTCGACATACTTGACGATCTTTCTCGGGGTGGCCTAACGCGAGACTCCTTTAGGAGTGCGACCCGTTCCCTCACATGATCGCATAGTTGCCAATGTCCTTTTCACTTTCTTCACCTCCTCCTTGAGAGCTTCGAAGTCGCCGGTGAGCTTCTCTATGATGACAGTGAGGACCTCGATATCGCTAGCGAGGTTCTTCCGTTGACGTATTTTAACCTTACTTTCTAACAATCTGTATCTTGAATCAGCCCTGTCCCGAACTTGACCGTTTAGGCTCAATAACGCAAAAGGCCTAGTGGCTCAGGAAAAAGCAGGCAGGTATACTTACTTCGCTCGCTTGATGGCTCTGATAACGATTTGTTGGATATAAAAATGAAAGGGGTACATAATAAAAGCGGGAGACTTACTGCTTGGCAGCAGATTGCTGTCGATCATACGGTCTGGTCGACAAGTTTTCGATTGATTCCGTTTCTCGACTGGACACTGATCGGACCTTCTGGCCATATTGGTTCTCAAGTCGGTCTTGGTGGGATACTTTTGCTCTAGAACAAGATGCGATCGCATCTTCATGACTGGAGCTCTCTCCGCTCCTATCTTGCTCCAGCATCTTTCGAAACTGGGCAGTGAGTGTGCCTCGCTGGTATCGAGAAACGACCCAATTTGGCATTTTCGAAGAAAAAGAGAAGGTAGAGAGCAGTAAGTTACATTGAGATCCTGAGCCTGGTTTCCGGACAACCATGTGAACTGTAGCAGCTACCAAGGCTCATGAGCTAGGTTCTCGTGATTGCCACCCACCTCACTAGATTGCAACGCTACGGTCACATTGATGAAACCATGGAAAAATAGCATCCGACGGACCAATCAAACACCATGTGCGAATTTAGACAGACGCAGGTACGGTTCTGCGATGCAGATCCCAGCGACGACCCACGGGACAGTAGACCAAGGCGGTTGTATTTGTGGCTCGAAGAAGAGATTGGAAGGATTTGCAAAGCCCCAGACACGGTCCACAAGCCCAAGCCTGATGACCGTGGGTCGTTGTTGATGTACAGACCAGGTATGGTCGAGGCAGGCGAGGTATTTGGAATGAATTCTAGCACCAAAATCCAATCCGTGGTTGTGTTGTGCTGTCAAGTGGCAAGTTGCTCTTTGTTTATCTAGTCTGTAGAACGTTCTAGAAGCTGTCTTCAGTCCTGTACCTTTTCCTGAAGCTTGAACTCTCTTTGAGCCCATCTCCACTACCCAGTTTGATCGCCAGTCTGACTTGTCTAGCAGAAACCATGCCAATCATGAACAGACCACATGCGCTCATGGAAATGTATCTCCGGTTTTTGCACTAAACCCGAGGAACCGATTGGCTCCCGGACATGAGTCGACGTTGTGGGCCGGCCCTCCTGCGGCCCTAAACTTTATTTCAATCACCCTGCGCATCTTGATCATGACTCTGGCGATAAAGAATCTTTCTAAGACAGTATTGGTTTTTTCCAGCTTCCCATAGTAGTGTAGACCGAGGCTTGGTGAATATGCCGCAATTCTCTTTACTTCTCTTTTCGGCCGTAGGGCTTGATCATGAGTAACATGGGAAGCAAGTGGGGCAGAAGCCCAAACTTCGGTTCTCCAGGAC